GACTAGGGCTTACATTTGAGCCTTTTAAAAGGGGTCACTTGAGATTTTACCCATATTACTGTCCAACTTATGTCTATTCGGCAGCACAGTAGAATGAACTATATACATCTGACCCATGCCTACGCGAGATTCAAGTGCATGGGAAAGAAAATCCTCATCCCTTGACTGCCAGCTAGGGGCAGGAAGCACGCAATGTGTCAATGAGACCCATGTGCCCAGAAAGTTCTTCCTTATGTCTCTCTGCCTCTTTCCTGGGTCAGCAGAGGACCCAGGTCTCTTGTTCCCACCATTCCTGTTGTGACAGCTTCTCAGCTAATACTATCTATCTTTGGCCCTAGGCTTCCAGAAAACACCAGTAGAGCAGTGGGGAAGTAGGCCAGACTGACCCAGTATGGGGCTGTCTCTAAGTGTTATCATTCACATCTAGGAACAAGAGATCCTTCTCTGTGGAGAGAGACAGTGGGTAAGGGGAGAACGGACTTTAGAGACTGAGAAAGAACGTTTTGTCGCCACGATGGTGGGGGAAGATGATTTCCATATTTACAATTGTAGAGTCCTGTTAAGTGCTGCTCAAAGTGTGGTCCATGGACCAGCAGTCTCTGAATCAGCTGGGAGCTTTAGAAAAATCTCTTTAATTTGTGCATGAGTCACCTGGAGTCTTGTAAAAATGAGCCTTGTTAAAATGCAGCTTCTGATCCTGTGGGTCTGACATTCTGTATTTCAGGTGATGCTGCTGGCCCCAGGTCACACATTGGGTCTCAGCGCTCTAGAGCAAGAAAGATGGCAGGGTGGGCTGGCCGCTAACGCTTATAGTCTTTGCCATTCTTAGAACTCTGAGATGCAGGGCGTTCCCTCTTCTAAAGGGTTCGATGTGAGTGTCAAGAAGGATGGGAGACGCGGTGACCCCTGTGCCCTGGACTCTCATCTTGGCACCAGTCTAAGCAGCACTTTACTCTCCCTTCTCAGGAGCTGGAGTATCAGAGGCGCCAGGTGCGGGAGCCCAATGACAAGTTTGTCCCTGTGATGAGCGACTTCATTACGGTGTCCAGCTTCAGCTTCTCAGAGCTGGAGGACCAGTTAAATGAGGCCAGGGACAAGGTAAGGGTGCCCCAACCCCCACTGCTTGCCAACCCAGTCTTATCTAAACAAGCTTCTTCACCCATTCCTACCACAGACAGCCCAGGAGGGACAAAACCAGAGTTACAGAGCTTTGAGGGAAAACTATCTCCTCACTCTTAACAAGACCAACAGTGGGAACCATATACTGCAAATATGGTGGGGCATTTATCAGCTATCAGGTACCCTGTTATGTGTTTTAAAGATGTGTCACCATCTACTTTATGGGTTTTGTTAGAAGGTCATTTCCCACTTGGCACATGTGAACAGTGAAATCAGAGAGGTTAAGTAATGTGCCCAGCTCTAAATGGTAGAACTGGGTTAGAATCCTGACACGCAGCCTAGCAGTGGGCATGATTGTCCACTATGCCTCTACTGCTTCTCACATTAACATGCCCAGAGACCTCATGCATGCGGGTCTTATTAAAACATGGATTCTCATTTAGGAAGCCTGAGATTCTGCATTTCTAACAGGCTTGCAGGAGGTGAACCTGCTGCTGGTCCATGAAGCACACTTTGAGTAGCAAGATCTTTCTTAGTGGATACAGAGTAGACTCAATTAGCAATGGTAGCTCTAAGTGCCTGGCATATAGACGTATAGCTACTAACTCATCTAACTCCCCAATAGCACTATGATATAGATTACTCCCATTTTATAGAGGAAGAAGCTGAGGCACAGAGGGGTTAAGTTATTAACCTGATAACTAGAGGATCTCTGAAGTTCTGAGTTCTGCCATGCGATTTCCTGACCTCACGAAGGGCTTCCGAAGGTCTATACCCCTGATCTCAGGCCTACCCCTTACAGGCCTAGGGCTGGCTCTGAGGTGGACTGTGAGTGAGCCCAACTCTTTACCTGCCCAGGGTGTTAGCCTCAAGCCTCTCCTTAGCCTTGTTTCCTCGCCCCTTCCAGCCCTGCCCCCTGTGCCAACAGTCCCCAACCTTGCACCGGGCTCTGTGGCTGGAACCCAGCTAACCTCAGGGGCTGTGCCCAGCATGCTCCGGGCACTTCCCAGCAACCCTGTTCTCTCTCCCTTGACAGTTCGCCAAGGCCTTGATGCACTTCGGGGAACATGACAGCAAGATGCAGCCGGACGAATTCTTTGGCATCTTTGACACCTTCTTGCAGGCCTTCTCGGAGGCCCGGCAGGACCTAGAGGCCATGAGGCGGAGGAAGGAGGAGGAGGAGCGGCGGGCGCGCATGGAAGCCATGGTGAGGGGCCATGCCATAGGGGTGGGTATCAGCCCCAGGAGAGAGAAGCCTCTTCCTAGCCTGAGGGAAGAGAGCAGTGTGAGGTGGGGAAGCCTGTATGTACCAGGGAGGAGGACAGTGGGGCCAACAGATACAGGTCGGCAGCATGGCCACGGCCTGGGAGTTAGGCCGAGGGGCTGCCCTGACCTCAGACCCTCGCTCTAAGAGGGTTCCCGCCTCTGGTACCCCACCCGCAGCTGAAGGAGCAGAGGGACCGTGAGCGGTGGCAGCGGCAGCGGAAGGTCCTGGCTGCGGGCAGCTCGCTGGAGGAGGGAGGCGAGTTCGATGACCTGGTGTCTGCCCTGCGCTCCGGGGAGGTCTTTGACAAGGACTTATGTAAGCTCAAACGCAGCCGCAAGCGATCAGGGAGCCAGGCCCTGGAAGTCACCCGGGAGCGCGCAATAAACCGGCTCCATTACTGACCTGGGGAACTGGCCACACAGGAGGCCGGGAGACAGGGCCGGGTGAGAACGGGGATGAGCGGAGGCGGTGGTGATACTTTAACCATTTGGTGCTTGGTTTAGAACCCTAGGCTGGGTCCTGGGGTGGGGGGCTGTGTGTGGCCGGACCAGGCATCTTCCCACACTTACCTTAAGGGGCTCCTCTCATCTCCCCTTCACACGATTCCTTCTGAGTTCTGGCCCCAGGGCTTATTCTGAGGCTGGCTTGGGACATCCCTGGAGGGCCTCCAACCAGGTAACCCCAGGCGGAGAGGGCCCTGCTCCCCATCCCCTACCACGGGCACCCATGTGCTGGCACAGAACAGTTCCAGATCCGCACTGGAGAGGTCCATGGCCTTGTCCAGATTTCCTGTGCGGCAGGGGGGATGATGAGGGGGCCCCTGAGAGGAAATCCAGACCCTGTCTCTTAACGGGAGGCTCAACAGAACATCGACTTGGGGGCAAACTTTCCTCTTGAAGGCAAACAGAGGCAGCATTATATATTCTAGTTAGATCAGCTCTGGTAGATTCCAGAAAACAGTGTCGGAAGGCTGATGCAGGTACCAAAGCCCTCAGGACAGAGTAGCAGTATCTATGTCCCATCACCAGTCCTCTGGCCTCTCTCTGCAGTCTTGTCTCCCTCCCTCCCTTTCCTCCCCTCACCTCCAAGATCCGTCTACTAATCCACAGTCCTAGGAAGACTCACCTTTGGGCTTTCCACAGTTACGGCTCTCTACCAGGTGCTTGATGAATCTGGTGAGGGAGGGGCTCAAGAAAGACCTCATTCATCACCACACCTCATGCCTTGGGCATATCCCACGTCCCCACCTCCTGGACACCTGGCCATTGTTGTGAAGCCAGACAGCGACCTCAAATGTTAACCTGGAGCCCGCTATGGCCCCTCGGTAGAGGGCAGCACTTGAATGCTTAGCTCCATCCCACAGCTCTCTATTTCATATAAATAGTTCAGGCCCTCCCACCCTCTTCTCTAACATTAGCCTCAAGGCAGAAGCCACAGTGGCCTCTGTGCAGCCTGCAGGCAGCCACTTAAGAACCATGTGTCCACTGGTGCTGGAGAGTTGGTTCCTCAGGTCTCTGAGGGCCAGAGCTGCACTTTGGGTAAAGATGCTGCCTCTAAGGGTATCCCCTCCTCTGAGGCATTTGGATGAGGGAAACTGAGATGGTGATGGAGGAGGAAGGCTGACATCCTCTGGGGAGCACATGCCTGAAGGGGCCAAGGAGGAAAACTCGGGGGTTGGGGGGCACATCCCCACCTCTTGTGCCCACTTTGGTTCTTTAGCCTTACAAGGGGCTCCTTCTGGTCTTCCCATTCTCCTACCTTCCATTTTGTCCATGTTGTGCTGGCCTTGGTAAATGGGATGGCCGTATCTAGACAAAATTCCTTTCTTCTAAACTCCATGAAGGCTCTTACTTTCAGTACTGTGCTCCGAGTTGACCTTTCATCCTCTGAGAGACTAGTCCTGCCTTGACCTCCACCATCAACCAGCTCTTGGCTCTTCTGCCCTTCCCTGTGTTTCTCACTTTCCAACCTCATCACTGGCTCAGGGTTATTGCCAGCGGAGGCTGGTGAGCTGGGCCCATTCTCAGCTGCCTCTACTTCTGCCTTTCACCTGCATCACACTCCTGGGGCTGGGACCGTAGTCGCTGCGGGGGAAGAAACCCAGGGTTGATGAGCCCAGCATGTGTGTTGGTTTGAGGGGGTGGGCGGCGCATGTGTTCTGGTGGGAGGGATCTGAGCAAGTGCAAGCCTGGCTGACACAGGTGTGAAGAGGCCATCCTGGAACCCAGATGAGGGCAAAGATGAAGGCTTCCGGGCAGAGAAGCTGCAGAGAGTTTGGCTATACCCATCTGCACCCTTCCCCCCCACCCCAAGCTCCCACTGCAAGAGAGGCATTAGAATGATAGGAGGTGGTGGGTGAGGCCTCTAAAGGTCCGCTCCCAAACTGGCCAGGCTGATGCTAACCTAAACCCCCAAGGGGCAAGGGGCAGGGAAGAGGGGAGGGCTCCACAAGTGCGTCTGGCCTTCCCGCCCCCCGTGGAAGACTGGATACGTACCTCCAAAGACAAGGACTACGGAAGCTGTTCAAGACACATTTGATCTTCAGAAAAGCCGAATTTGGTTTAACTGCTGACAGAGGGCACAAATGCGTTGTTCCAGAGCCCAGCCTTCTCTAAAACATATTTTTTATTTATTATTTTCTAGATCTGGCCAGTGGCTCTGGTTCTAGATGCCACTGTAGCCAGGTCTCCAACAGTGCCTTGCACCACGGACTCATACTCAACTCAGTAAGAAGGGACTGGTGCCCAATGCGGGTGGCTGAGCTGATCCTTAATATGTTAAATGTTTTCGCCTCTTAATGTTTCTTGGTCTTGCTTTTTTTCATGTTCTCCCCACCACTCCTGCCACCTTTAAGTTTCTCCAGCTGTCTGATTTCCTGGCCAATGTAAAATTCATCATCAACCTGATGCAACCTTCTCAGCAGCAGCATTTCTGCCCTGTGATGGAAATAAAGTGTTTAGGGCAGTGGGAGGAGAAGATTCTGCAGGTGAATGGGGAGGGTCTGTTTCAGCCTCTCCCAACTCCCATCCCCATTTCCACCAACTGGGGCGCTGTCACTATCTCCCCCGACCTCTACCAGGGATGCCTTCACACCAAGGCTATTCTCACCAGCTGCCTCCGACGACATGAGGCTAAATGGACAAAGTCTGCAGTGTCCTTTTTCACTTGCACCTTTTTTATAAGAATATATTGTAATACTAAAAAATATTAAATTCATACCATCCCTACCCATTCTGCCTTTAAACTTGTGCCTTCCTGTGAGGGGATCTTGGGTGGGCTGGGAGTGGTGTCCTGCAGCCAGCTTGTACCAACTCTGTGAGAAGCTATTGTTCACATTTTCAGGAATTTTGCAAGCCATTTGACATTACATTGGTAGCTTGAAATTACTCCACGTGGGAGTATTTATAATCACAGAAATGGTCTTTACCGGAGAGCTGATTGTTAAACATTTGCCAGCACACCAGGGCAGAGGGGAGGCAGGCAGGAGGCACCACTGTGGATAGACCCAAAGACATCTAACCAAGTTAGAGAGCCCAGCAGGCCAGAACAGTGTTTGGGGATGTGAAAACCAGGAGCCTCCAATTGTTTTCTCTGATCTCCAGTAGGAGGTGATGCAAGCAATGAGCTTTGAACACCCCTGGCCACCACCTGACAAAAAGTTTCCCTTAGATGGTGCATTTCTATGCGCCCCCCCCTCCCCCAACCACCACCACTTCACATTCTCCCACAGGCTACTCTCTGTATAGCCCCTTAGGCCTTTGCAGGGCCTAAGGAGCATATTTCTTCCCCTTCTTCCCCCAGGGCAATGTGTCTTGGGATAGGGTTAATAGGTACAACCTTCTCTGTGAAAAGGCAGCAGCCCAGTGCCCTACCCACACAGAGTCTTCATTCTTGCATCTGCAAAGTTGGCATCATAGCTTTATTTGTGCGCTGTGAGGGTGAAGGCAATCTGTCATCGTCGTCTTTCTCTGATATGCTCCAGAATCAAGAGGGGTGAGTGAAACAGCCATGAGCAGGGCCAGGTGTGGGCTGCGAGGTACGTCAGGAGTCCTTAGGGCGGTGACCCATGTGTGCATATCCTGTTTCAGAGGAGGGGTCCTGAGGAAAGGGGGCCAGCAAGACTGGGCAGCGGTTAAGCTGAAAGCCTGCAAGTCTGAAGGGACACAGACTTGGGCAGAAGGAGAGATGAAGTCAGGACGGGCTGAGGGAGGCAGCGCTGCCGGGGAGAAGCTGGGATGCATTACTCAGCCAGGCTTGTGCTTTGCTCTCTTCAAAATGGGCTCCTCTGCTTAATGAGCCCTTCATCTCTCCCCAGGAGGGCAGAAGAGAAAACCCAAAATGAGAAGGAAAAGTTCTGGGCTGGACTCTCTGAAACTGGTGGTCTGCAACAGTCCACAAAGAACATGATTTCCCAGTTACCTAGCATTGCTGGCTGCAGTCCCGCTCCCATGACCTTAGTGTCTGTCCCGGAAGGCTTGAGGGCCTGCTGGTATCTTCCCTGCAGAAAGGAAGCTCCATCGATCATTAGAGATCATCTAGCAGCAGACCTAGTAGTAGAGCAGGCTCTCTTCCGGTTTACTGCTCAAGGTAAACAGTGACTGTGATTAAAGGAACCTGACATCTTTCCCTCAGCCCAAATTGCATCCCATCTCCAGGCCTGGCTGGGCCATGGGTGAGAACGGCAGGAAGGAGCTAAGCCCGATGGAAGTCCCCGCGCTGGCCACCAGTCTTGCTAATGAGCTTGATCTCCTCCAACACGATGTCCCTGCTGACAGCCTTGCACATGTCGTACAGGGTGAGGGCGGCCACTGCAGCAGAGGTCAGGGCCTCCATCTCCACCCCAGTGGGGCCCCGAGCCCGGCAAGATGCCCGGATCTCCACAGCATGGCGTGTGCTGTCCAGCTCCAGCTGCACCTGGACGTGGCTCAGGGCCACATGGTGGCACAGAGGGATCAGCTGGCTGGTCAGCTTGGCTGCCTGGACTCCAGCCAGCTGGGCCACCACCAGGGCATCTCCTTTCTTGAGCTGGTTCTGCTGGACAAGCTTGAAGGCTACAGGCCCCAGGAGGACCACGGCTGAGGCCACAGCCACCCGTTCTGTGTCTGGCTTCTTGCCCACATCTACCATCGCTGCCCGTCCTTCCGAGTCCACATGAGTTAGTTGTTCTGAGGTTAGCTGGGGTCCTGAGGGGGCAGCAGAAGCCCAGGAACCTGGGCTAAGGCACTTTGAGTTGGCATTTGAGTCTACATGGGAAGTGTAGTGTCTCTGAAAGGAGCCAGACCCCAGCTGCTGCTGGGCTAGAGGAGGGGTCTGGGGGACCCTGTATCCTTTCCATAAAGTGGCCATCTGGCTGGAGAAACTCATTCTGGATCTTAGACCCTCAACATGGAGGGCATCCCAGGAGGAAATGCTTGGATTGGCTGGTGGGGAATCACGGAACATCAGAAATAACTCTGCAAGTCAAGAAAAAAAGAGAAGAAAGACTAAGTCCAAAAGACAATTATTTTTCCCACCTGTACTCCCCAACCCTCTCCCTATCCCACCTCAAGTTCTCTTTCACAGTGAGGGGAAAGAGGAATGAAGAACAAAAAGCTTAGCGGGAAGAGACAAAACAGAAGATCCACAGATAGATGGCATCCAGAGTCCAAGTTCACAGCCCTTCTCACCCGGTGACGGACAGGGTAACAGCCCGCCCAGAGACTGCTGTGCCAGGGTGGCGAGGGTGACTCCGGGCCCCCTCATGAAAACCTTCTCATTTCTCAAGTTCTCTCCAGCAGCAGCAAGCTGAAGCCCAGCAGCAGCAAGCTGAATGTCCCTTCAATTTTCTTAAACCTAGAGCTAGGTCTCACCCTAAATTACCAATTACACTTATTTTCATCTTCACATTCTCCATGAAGAGTTAATACAACCATTTAGTTTACACACAAGATAATAAGAGGAATATTTGATCTACTTAAATGTTTTTCAAGTCCCCTCAAGCACATCAAAAGTGCACACAAACTGACGGCCTGATTCAGATGGTGCCAAGGGGGCCTGGGGAATGGTGCAGGGTCTCGTCACTCAAAGGGTGGCTGGCTCATGGACCAGCAGCACCAGCACCGCCTGAGAACTCACAAGAGATGCAGAATCCCATCCCAGACCTCCCAAGTCAGAATCCAAATGACAAAATCCCCAATGATTCACATGCATTCTGATAGGCCCTGTTCTAGGCAACTCTTGATTGTATAGAAAGCAGACCAATTACTCAGTATCTCTGAAAGTATGAAGCAAATGCTCCCCAGCTTCCCGCTTCCCATCATACTCTAAGCCCCGGACTTGCCAATGTCAAAGGTGCAGCCTCCCTTCTGGGGAGATGCTGTCAAGGACATGAAGGTGCCTCAGCTTGGGTCAGGGCACAACAAGAGGACTTTGATGCCGGGGGTGGAAGGAGAAGAGATGGGAGTCTTCTTCCCAATGGCAAGCTGCCTTTGCTTTCCTGGGCAGTTGGTGGGCAAAGATGGTCCTTGGGCTGTCTCTAGCCTGTTTTCCTCTGGGCCACTGAGCTCACTCTGCTCCAACCTCTAGAAAAAGGATCTTTCCTCTCATTTTTTCCCTCCTGCTAGTGGCACAGTTGAGGGGGCCCAGACCTGACTGTGGGCAAAGGGTCAAGGCCTCACCTGCTCTAATCTGGGCACAGTGAAAGAGGGGCAACAGCCACCCTACAGTGACTAGCCCAGCCCCCAGGGGTAGGAGACCACATAGGCCTTAAAAAGAGGGACTTTTGTTTGAAGCATCCTGCACATACTGTGATACGTCCTATGCAGATGTTCCTGAGAGTTAAGGAAGTGGGAAGCTGAAGTCTTGGCCATCTCCTCCTTGGAAAGGTGAGTAACATTATTAACTTGCTCCCTCAAGCTCTGCCCAGCCCAGCACAGATGTGTGGCCACACATCCACCAGTAGGGGCTAATGGCCAGATAACACAGTGCATGGATCAGTCTATACTACAGAGGACACCAGCCGTTGTATCTAAACTGGGAGATTTTAGAGCTGAGGAAAAGGCCTGTTTTAACCAGGACCTCAATTCTCAGGGAGCCGCTAACTTAGTGATCATTAAATCTGGTGGACCATTCCCCTGCTCCAATTTCTGGTGAGAAAGAAGGATCATTTCTGTGGCAGATATAGTAAGAGGGAAGATGAACAGGGAGGGAAGAAACCATAAAACCTTGAAGGTTAAGAAGAGATGAAGGAGGAATAGAACACACACAAGGATGAGAACATCAGCATGAAATGCAGGAGCTGGGGGTGCCTATGGCACGGCTCCCACCCCATGGGATCCCCAAATGACAAGGGTGAGTGGTTACGTACTGATGGGTCACCCACCGATGAGGATCATGGGCCGGTTCTTCATCTGGGAAATACTGAACATGCCTGGGGTGAGGGAAAGATGGGGAGGGAGAAGAAAGCAGGGGAAGGGGATAGAGAGGGTGAGGAGAGCAAAGTTCACTGAAACGAACGTGCTTGACGGCCCCAGCACATGCACTCAGCTATATGCACCCTGAAAAAAGGCCCCCATGTGTGCACCGCAAGGTCACTCATGGCTGTGCCCAGAGAACCAGTCTGTGGACATCAGGACCCTGCCCTCCATAAACAGAAGGCAACATGTGGGATGAGAGAGAAGCAATGTCATCCCCTCCTCCCCACCCAATAAAACAGCCCAAGAGAATTGGGGGTCCCCTCCTGTGCAGCCTCTGCTATGACATTTCCCCACAGAAGGAGAGCCATCATTGTACCCCGAGTCCAGGGGGCCAATAAGAGTGGGTGGTTTGGTAGTGGGGATGATGCTAACTCCAGCTTCCTACTAGGTGTTCCTTGGGCATCTCACCCCACAACTCCAGACCTTCCTCCAGGGGACAAGGCCCACTCACCATCCAGGCCAGCCCTCCCCACCCTGCCCTTACCTGCATGCTGCCGCTTCTTCCTGCCCACAGCAGCCCCGATGATTCTCAGCAGCTCCTGCTCAGAGGCCCCAGCTCGCAGGTGATCCCGCAGAGATACCTCAGAGTTTCCAAAGAGGCAGACCTACATGGGGTCGAGGACAACATGCCTTCATTATCGCTGAGAGCCTTGGCCTCCTGGCCTCTGAGCAGCTCATTCCTTCCCTGAATTCCCCAGGGAAGAGCACCAGGGCCCAGGCCTCCCATGGCAGGGCCCCCAGCAGTGAGAGACAGAGGTGCTGTAGGGAGGTCAGAGAGGCTAGAAGAGCAAGATGTAAAATTGGAATTCCCAATGCCTGTACTTGAGTGAGTCATATTTCCCTCAGTGTATTTGAAAAAACTAAGTAGATGCCAACAGAGATAGCACATAAAAATCCAGATCCGTATCTTCTCCTGAGACCCTTGCTGGAATGACCTCTTTATCACCATGAGAATGGCCCCCAATCAGCTGGAGCTGTCTGTGGCCTGGAAGTCCCCTACCCCCTGCTGTGCCATACACATCCCAATTCACCTCAGCCCCTCCAAGTCACTTGTGGATGTCACCTGCCTGCTCTGTACTTATCTGAGCTTGTGATCACTGCTTGGAAGCTTCAGCTGAGGGCTGGTGGGGATGACAACTTAAGGTCGTTCAAACTTGCTCAATGCTTCCCAACTTCTGTAAAGGATGAGGCAGCCCCAGAAATCAATGTATCTACCATCCTTCCACCAAAACTTATAAAGTATCTACTCGGTGCTAGCTCTGCACAAGACACTGTGGTCACAGAGAAAGAAGAATGCCTGAGAAGCTTGTGAGGGCAGAGACCACTGGGGAAGATAAGACAGAAGGGAAATCTAGGATCGTTCTAATTGCTTCACCTCATTCCTCAACTCCCCCACCAGCCCCCAGGTTCCCTTCTCTGCAACAAAGAGGTTCCTCCTGTGGACTTCACCTGCTGGGTCCCCCTCCAGCTGGCTCCTGCCTGGGAGGTCAGGGGGTAAAGGGAAAGAAAGACCTTGAGGCACTTCTCCCCTGCTTCCTCCCTGCTTTGGTATCTCTGGCAGCAGCTGCTTCTCTGCACAGCTCAAGTGCCAATGAGGTAGCCTCTCCTCTAAGGCTCCAGCCCTTCCTGGGCTCCAGTGACATCAATGCCTCCCCCTTGCCCTGTCAAAGTAGGAACAGCTGTTTGCTGCTGCTGGTCCCAAGTACCTCAGCATTCCTCAGTGGTTCCCTTAATCCTACGTGCTATAAATAGCTTCTTCACTACATTCTCTTCAGAATCCCATCTTCCATTTTCTGCCAAGACCTCACAGATACAGAAACCACCTACGGTCCAGGTCAATTCCATATCCGCAGCCCAGAAAAAAGCCCAAGCTTTTCAGCAACCTGCTGGATGGTTCCTTTTGGATTCAAGTTGGATGCATGTAAATCCAACCCACCATCACCACCTTCCCACAACTGTAAAAGATCCCAAGGCCTTCCAGATACCTTGATGCCTTCCTCCCGCTCCTTCCACAAACATTACCAAGCTCTCAGAATGTTCCTTCAACACACACTCTTACATATTTGGAGAACCACTGAACAGTCACCTAAATGTCTTCCTGTCATCACATCCAACCTGTGGCTTATAAAACATGCATGGGGGATGTCATCCCTGTTCAGGAACCTTACACAGCACCCTACTGTCCACAGAACGCATTCTGAACCAAAGCCCTCTCAATGTAGTTTTCCTGTAGCTAACTTTAATCTGCCCTAGCCTGCCCAACCAGTATGAACCCTACGTGTGCGCCCTCCCCTCCTCACTTGTGCCCCACCCATTCTTCAGGCTTGCCAAGGTCTGCAGTGCTCTTCCTTGAGGCCTAGCGCCTCATGGCCTATCCAGCCACGCATGCGGCAAGGACTCCCATGCCGCCACACATTGCCTCTGTTTGGTCTTGCCGCTAAGTCTGCATGGCCCTGATGAGAAGGGGTCCTGACATCCCCCACAGGGCCGAATGCAAACGACATGCTTGTTAGATATGAGTAACATCCATGTCTGGTTTCAGAGCTGAGCCCCTGGCCTGGTGGAAGGGGCTAACCATGGTGGGGGCCAGGCAAAATGCACATTGATCCTTCAGCATTCCATGAAAGCTGGAAAGGAGCTCCCAAAAAACCAGAAGCTGGACAGGCCATGAGGAAGGAAGGAATGATTCACGGTGACATTTCCAGAGTGGCCATGCATTCACTCCCACCTGCTGCTCCCATCATGCCCCCAAACCTGACATTATTGCACCAACCACCACCCACCCCTGCACTGTGCCCTGCCAGTCTTCTGTCCAATCAGGGAGCACAGGTGGGAGGAGCTCTGAGAACACAGGTGGCAAGGGTCTCCATGGTGGAGGGGATGCTCACCTTGAGGTTCCCATCAGCTGTGATTCGCAGGCGGTTGCAGGTCCCACAGAAATGCTCAGACATGGACGTGATGAAGCTGATCTGGCCTTGGAAGCCAGGGATTTTAAAGGCCTGGGTAGCGGAGAGTGGGAGGAAAAGGGCAGTGAAGGGGACGAGTTACAGAGCCCAGGCTCTCACTCGGTGACATCAGAACCTCCGCTCCTCAACCCTCTCCCAGAGGGGCCCATATGAGGCTCCACCCGAGGCCCTCAGGTGATAGAAGAATCTGGTAAGATGGATGACCCATGGGTTCCTGACCCATGCCTGGCTTGCCCTAGATAAAAGCTGCTAAGGCAGCATGTTTAGAAAAGGCTGTGTGGTGATGAGCATTTTTTCATATGTTTGTTGGCCTCCTGTATGTCTTCTTTTGTAAAGTATCTGTTCATATCCTTTGCCCATTTTTGAATGGGCTTGTTTGTTTTTTTCTTGTAGATCTGCTTTAGTTCTTTGTAAATTCTGGATATCAGCCCCTTGTCAGATGGGTAGACTGCAAAAATTTTTTCCCATTCTGTTGGCATCACTGGTCATCAGAGAAATGCAAATCAAAACCACATTGAGATACCATCTCACACCAGTTAGAATGGCGATCATTAAAAAATCGGGAAACAACAGATGCTGGAGAGGATGTGGAGAAATAGGAACACTTTTACACTGTTGGTGGGAATGTAAATTAATTCAACCATTGTGGAAGACAGTGTGGCGATTCCTCAAGGACCTAAAAATAGAAATCCCATTTGACCCAGCAATCCCATTACTGGGTATATATCCAAAGGATTATAAATCATTCTACTACAAGGACACGTGCACACGAATGTTCATTGCAGCACTGTTTACAATAGCAAAGACCTGGAACCAACCCAAATGCCCAACGATGATAGACTGGATAGGGAAAATGTGGTACATATACACCATGGAATATTATGCAGCCATCAAAAACGATGAGTTCACGTCCTTTATAGGGACATGGATGAACCTGGAAACCATCATTCTCAGCAAACTGACACAAGAGCAGAAAATCAAACACCGTATATTCTCGCTCATAGGCGGGTGTTGAACAATGAGAACACATGGACACAGGGAGGGGAGCACTACACACTGGGGTATGTTGGGGGGAAATGGGGGAGGGGAGGGGGGTGGGGAGGTGGGGAGAGATAGCATGGGGAGAAATGACAGATACAGGTGAGGGGACGGAAGGCAGCAAAGCACACTGCCATGTGTGTACCTATGCAACAATCTTGCATGTTCATCACATGTACCCCAAAACCTAAAATGCAATAAAAAAAAAAATTAAAAAAATAAAAAAAAATAAATTATATAAACACATTCAAAAGACTGTAAAAAAAAAAAAAAAAAAAAAAGAAAAGGCTGTGTGGAACAGGGATGAGCAGCGCCCCCTGCCACTTGCTGTAGTGTGTCCTCTGATACGTGACAGACCCCCAACCCTAGCCGGGCCCACATCTTCCTCCATGAAACAGGGAGGTGGTTGTGATAGCACTGACGCTTCCTGCATAAACAGTACCATCACCCATCACTGCATCCCCACCACAGTGCAGCCAGCTGCTAGCTCTCCATCCTAGGGTAGAAGCATGACCTTCCTCCAGGCCTGTCCCACACCCTCCTGCTCCCTAACCTTGGCTGTGCTGGACTCCTCCTCTGGCAGCTTCTCCAGCTCTGGCCACTGCTGCCGGACAGTGTCCAGCATCTCCTTATAGCTGACCATCTTCTTGAAGTTCCACTTGTTGCCTGTGTTTGGGTTGGGGGAAGGCAAGGGGAGCTTCTGAATCAGAGTTGAAGGGGCCCCGGGGTCTCCGAGTCCATCCCCTGCCATAGCACAGCAATCAGTTCTCCAGCCTCTTGGATGGGAGGGACAGGGAGCCCTGCCTAAAATGGGTGGATCAAATCACACCCACAGTGGACTCCAACAACCCATCATAATCCTAGACCCAGTGCCTGCCTGGGCCTCTCCCATCATCCCTGGGGTCACCCATACTCACCAGGTGAGCCATCCCACTTGACCAGCAGGCCCAGTCCCTCTTCCCTTCCCCACCCCGTCCCTGGTCACTGACCATCAAAGGGCATGTACTCTATGAAGCGCACGTCCAGGGGGAGGCCCTCGGTCAAGGCTGCAAAGTCCAGGAGTTCATCCTCGTTAAGGCCTCGCATCACCACACAGTTCACCTGGCCGGGGGGACGGTGGGACTATGAGGGCTGTGCCCCCTGCGTTCTTTTGTGGCACCCCCATGGGGGCCTGGCACCACTGAGGCCTTCCACTCAGGGACCCATTCCTTGCTTCTCCCACTCAGTTCTCTAAGTTGGGGGATTCCATGGGGTCACTGATTTTCTCCTTTCTCTCAAGGGTGGGTAGGGCTGGACCAGCTGAGAGAGAAGAGGTAGGAGGATGCACGCACTTCGGCCATGCTGGCCAGAGCTGAGGGCTCTCAAGCGGGCCGGGGGCCACGAGGGGAAGGCCAGGGCGGTGTGGAGGGACGTCGGCAATTCACAGTGGGGGCACGGCCTCACCTTCACAGGGTTGTAGCCCAGCTCAATGGCCTTGTGGATGCCCTCCATGACCTTGTGGAAGCCTAGGAGGGAGAAACAAGGCTCCATGAATTTCTGCTCTCTCCTCTTCCCCCACGCCTCCACAGAAAAGCACCGGAGCTATAAAGGAGCCTGAAAAACCATCTCATCTGGAGATTGGCAAATGTTTTCTGAAACAGACCAGAGTAATATCGTAGGCTTTGCAAACCTACAAGCAACACGGAGGATCCATGTAAGTATATGTCACACAGTACTGACTCAATTCCAAATATAGCAGTGATGACTGAGTACGATGTTTTGTAAACCAGATCTACAAATGGGATACAATAACGCAATTCTTTTTGCAGGGACAGTATTTTGCTTAAATGGAGTTCATAATGTTCCCTATCATCAACTGATTGCAAATGTTTATCGTAAAATGCATTCTTGGCTCAAAGGCTATATGGAAACGGATGCGGCCTTCGGGCCGTAGCATGCTGACCCTGGATCTAGCTGAACCCTCTCGTAAGTCTGCAGGAGGAAACGGAGACTCAGGCAATGCCCTGCTCAGAGCCTCAGGGCTCCATCTTTTAGAATGCAGGTTTTCCACTCCCATTTCAATGTTTTTTCCTCAATAGTCCATCAGTGATTCACGCAACACATACCCTCCAAGCACCTACTACCCACAGGTGCTGTTCCAGGGCTGGAAAGTGATTACTGTCTGGACAATCATTCACCACAGTCAATGTGACCCCAGCTGACTTCTCACTGCCCAGTTGTCTCATGCATATAGTCACATGATCACCTACTGGATCCTGGCTCCCTCTGGCATTCCCCAGCCTGCACAGCCTGGGTGGTCACCTGTGAGAGAGGGTGCCTAGCGATGGTCTCCAGGGTTTCCTTGCAGCATTTTCAGACTGCTCAATGAGAGGGTAGAGGGAAGAATGTGTGGCTTTAAAAAAACAATGCTGCTAGGATATGCTAGAGCTGTAAGTTTTCTTTTCTGCTTAACACTCCCCTCCAAAGGCAGGTGGTAGATGAAACAGTATGAATGAGAGGGAAGATCCAATTTCTGCAATCCTTGCACCAGGAAATAAGAGACAAAGAGAGGGGAGAAGGTATATGCGGGGGTACAGGCCACAGATCCACCTCCTGCTTTCCCACTGCAGAGCCCTTGCAGGTTCTTTACTCCTGCTTCCCTTCGGAGTATGTGCCATTGATTCAAACCATTCTGTTCCTCACTGCCAGCATACATGCCTCCTCCTTGAAGCCCTCCTAGTTCTCTCCTGCTAATTCTTTCCAATACCACAAGACAAGCAAAGGCTGTCCTGGGGAATTGTATCTTGTGGCCCTTAGCAGCCTGTAAGGCAATGTCTGTGTGTCTTCTGTTCCCTCCACAGCACCTAGAGCAGCGCTTTACAGAGGAAGGAGATGGAGTGAGTGCTTCCTCAGCACGTGGAGGGTATAAGCAGGGCATCACACCTGGTTTATGAAAAGGGAGAAAAGAAGATGGTGGGGCTGATCTTGAAGCTATTTGCAAGGAAGGAGGAGGAGAGCTGGGCCTCCCCGCCATCTCTCTGATTCTCCAGAGTCCTCAATCATGTACCCACTTCCCCCATGTCAAAAGGTATCCAGACCTGAAAAGCCTTTGCCGCAACATGAGATCCATGCCAAGGGGAAGCCAGGCGTTGGTCTACTACAACCTGGAGCTCGAGGCTGGCTCTACCTGTCCACCTTGGGCCTCCTGAGGCAGCCGGGCAGAAGATGTGGGTGTGCTTGCAGCAAGGGGTGCCTAGGAGAGGCTTATATCCAGGCAGGCACAGGGACAACCATGGGGGACTGCTGGGGGACCCCCACCCGACGGCACACAACCACACCCTGGTGTCCCAGAGTGGCTACTTCCACCTTGGGCTGTCCACGTTTCTTCAGAGCTCATTGTAGAATGACCAGTTCCACCCAGTTTGCCATGGACTGTCTTGGTTTTAAAACTTCAAATCCTTCATTCTAAACCCCCCTTCAGTCCTGGGCAAACTGGCGCTCGGGTGGTAGGGAGGCTGGTCTCCCTAGGTCATTAGCATCTGACCCCCAAAGACCCTGATGTACATTTGGCAAAGAGGAGAGGTGCGAAATAAGTGCTGTGACTTACCAATAGCCCAGGCACCAAGAGGAAGCGACCAGGCCCCTCGCTCCGCACTGGCCGTGCCCTCCCCAGCTAAGCAGACTCTGGGAGGGAAAACTCGCCCCATCCACATCTGCTCACCTTTCCTGCGGACGATGAACTCAAACTTGGCAGGCACCAGGGTGTCCAGGCTGATGTTGATGGCGCTGAGACCAACCTTCTGAAGCTGGGGGAGCAGCCGGGCCAGGTTGATGCCATTGGTGGTGACACCGATGGTCCTCAGCCCTTCCAGCTGCTGGAGCTGGGCTGTAAGGACGACAGGAAGGGGGTCAGACTGCTTGCATGTTCTTGGTGAGGCCAGCAGAAGGGCTGGAAGCCAAAACTCTGTCCAGTCAAGATGGATGGAAAAGAGGCTCTTTACAGACCTGTATTAACTAGGCCTAATTTTAAAAGAAATCTAAGAATAAAAATTGACAAAAATAACCAAAGATTAAGCACTGAATGCGCTCTCTTTGCTAGGTGCTCTGCTGATGGCTTTGCACACATTAGCTCATTGAAGCCTCACAATAACAATGATCTCATTTAGTAGATAAAAAAAGACGTTCTCTGAAAGATTATGAAAACTGCTTAATGCCACATAGTAAGAAGAGCTGGCATTTAAATCCACGTGTACCCGACTCAGGACTCTGTTCCTAACAATGAACTACTTCACAGGTCCTGATATTCTGTATAATGAAAGCATAAAAGTGTTTGAATTAAGTGCCATTTGACGCTCCATTCTACCAAATGTCCCTAGAAATAATGGAAGGATTTAAAAAATCCATAATAGCATTGGAAGGTAAAAAAGAATGCTGTGAATAGCCTAGAAAGGTAAAGAAGTACTGAAAGAAAGCAAATGGGATTGATCAGATGGATAGAGACCACAGCTCAAGTGCACCAGGAGTTACATTTGGAGGAGGTGGGCAGGTTGGCCTCGTCCTTCCCATAGGCAGGGGAAGGCAGCAGAAGCATTTGCCTCAAGGATAGAGCACCAGTGCAGACACGTAAGCCAGCCATGCAGCTGTGTTAGTTTCTTCTCATGCTGCTAATAAAGAAATACCTGAGATGGGTAATTTATAAAGAAAAGAGGTTTACTTGAGTCACAGTTCAGCACGGATGGGGAAGCCTCAGGAAACTTACAATCATGGCAGAAGAGGAAGTAAACATGTCCTCCTTCACACAGCGGCAGCAAGAAGTGTTGAGCAAAATAAGCAAAGCCCTTCATAAAAACCATCAGATCCCGTGAAAACTCACTATCATGAGAACAGCATGAGGGTAACCACCCCCGTTATTAAATTACCTCCTACTAGGTCCCTCCCATGACACATGGGGATTATGGGAACTACAATTCAATATAAGGTTTGGGTGGGGACACAGCCAAACCACACTGGGGGCAAGCCCTGAGTCCTGGTGACACTCAGCAGTACCTCACACCCCTTCTCCACAACCTTGGAGCAGCCCATAGAAACACAACATTGCCAGGCAGGCCAACACAGACCTCAGGCACTAAGATGAAGACGCCACCAAGAATCAATAAATGTTAAAGGAGGATGCCATGAAAGAAAGATCACCAATTCTTCAAACAGAAGAATAAAAGGAAGAGGAGAAGGAACAGTGGTAACAGAAAACAATTCTTTTAAAAAGCAGGGGGAATATCCCCATTGGGCTAAATACTCAATCCTGAAAATAAACCAACAGAAAACCCTAATTAGGGCTCTTAAAAATTAAATATATAGTTACAAACAAAAAGAAAAACTTGAGAAGCAGAATGGACACAAGAACAAATGAGCAAGCTGGGAAATTCGGCAGAGACATTCTTGAAAAGCTGCATACAAAAGACCAAAGAATGAAAAGAATGAGTCTGAAGAAACACACCTGCTCACATTCAAATTCAATAAAATCTAGAGAAAAGACAAGTCGTCAAAATATGCACAGTAGTTATCTTTGATCAGTAGGATCACAGGTGATTTTTTACGTTTATTTATAGGTAACATTTATTTCTATAATGAACGAGTTTTCTTTTAGAATGTGGGAGGCACACATACACCACTCCCCCTGGATTTTAGCTGACCTCTGCTACACGGACAGTGCCACTGACCACATCCTTCCAGCCACCAGACCAGTTGTTTCCAAGAAGCTATGTAAATGCATGTCTCTACGAAGACTCAGCTCAGCACCGCATGAAAGCGGAAACCAAGAGTCAAGTGCTCAAGTGAAGCCGAACTCAGAAAAAGGCAGAATATTACAAAATTCATCATCGGTTTAAGGTAGGGATGCATGGAAGTGCACACACTCATGGTGTAATAAAATTATATAATCTTTCTGGAGAGTTGTACATGGAACTTTTTAAAGCCTTTGACCTGAAATTTCACTAAGGATTTAATCTAAGGAAATAATCATGGATGTGAATAATATTTATCTACAAGGGTGTTCATTACAGAGCAATAAATAATTAAGGGAAGTGGGAAATAATCTAGAGAGCCAACTATAGCAAACTTGTTGAATTCTGTTTTCTCTGGATGATGGAATATTATGCAACTCAAAATGACTCTGTAAAATCATACACTGGGGTATAGGGAAATGCACACACTATATTAGGTAGAGAGAACTGTAACACAAGACGCAGTCAACACAGAAGACAGTAAACATGAGATGCAGAGAAAAATGGCAAGCAGGTCATCACACCAAAACGTCAACAGTGGTTACAAATAGGCAGTAACGACATTCTTTCTGCTTTTCTGAAATAAACATAAGTTACTTTTGTTAAAAATAAAGTTTACAAGAGCTGTTTGAAAAAGGCAAGAGTTTCACTCTGGCTCTGCCAATAAGGAAAATTAGGAGTAGTTGTTCACACCTGCAAAATCAACCCTGGAGAAACATAGAATCTAGCTATCTATGAACTTAACAATCTAAGTCCTTAAGAAGAATAGTTGTTCTGAATTGGTATGAGTTAGGGAAAGAAGCTGATGAGCAGAGAATGTGATAAAGGAAAAGGAAGCAGGTTAAGCTCTATTCTTTCCCTTGCCCACTGAGGCCTCAGCACAATCACCAATTATCGCCTTAATGAAGAAATCAGTGGCAACTTCCCAAAGAACTAGTTTAAAAGTCAACTGGAGGCTGGGTGTGAAGGCTCACGCCTGTAATCCCAGCACTTTTGGAGGCCAAGGTGGGTGGATCACTTGAGGTCAGGAGTTCAAGACCAGCCTGGCCAATGCGGTAAAATCCTGTTTCTACCAAAAAGACAAAAATTAGCCAGGTGTGGTGGTGGCACATGCCTGCAATCCCAGCCACTTGGGAAGCTGAAGCAGGAGACTAACTTGAATTCAGGCGGCGGAGGTGGCAGTGAGCCGTCATTGCATCACTGCACTCCAGCCTGGGCAGCAGAGTGAGACTCTCTCAAAACAGAACAGAACAAAACCTCATAAGCTGATTTTAAAATTTACATAGCCAAACCTTAGTATATGTGAAACATTGTTGAAAAATAAAAAGAATTTGCCCTACCAGATAATCGACTGATGAAGCTACAGTGATTAGGACAGGTTGATATTGGCACAGAGACTAACAAATTGACCAACAGAACAAAGTAGAGCTGAAACAGATCAATACTTACAGAATGGCAGATTTATGGAGTGAGGACTGTTCAATACAAAAAAAAAAAAAAAAAAAACAAGAAAAAGACAACTAACCATATGGAAAAACATTACACTGGATTCCCAAAAGTCATCTACAGAATATCTAAGGACTTACATGCTACATTCACAATTTTTAGTGAAGAACATAGGTAGGTGATCTGATCTAGGGTTAGGTGTTTCATTAACAAGATATGAAAACAACCATGAAAGAAAAAACAAAACACTGAAGAAAAACTGCTACTAATCAAAAAGAATCATTACACATGGTATACTTTTTTTTTTCAGATTGGGAGGAGGTATCTGCAACATATGTAAAGAACCTGTACCAAATCAATATGAAAGGACAAAGAACCAAATAGAAAAATGGGCAAAAGACATGACCAGGAATTACACAGAAAAAGATATTTTATATTTACATTTAGCTAATTAACATGTGAAGAGATGCCAACTTCATTCTTAAATACAAAAATACAAACTAAGACCACAGTGAAACATAATTTTACACTTGTTCAACTGGTGAAAAACAAGAATAGTAGTGCTGGGGAGACTGGTTGACAGGATCCCTTACGTAGTGCTGGTGAAAGTGTATTTGGCACAACCACTTTATGAAGTAATGCCACATTGTTTTCCAGAGTTAAACATTCACATACTTCATGATCCAACAATTCCACTGCTAGACAAAGCATATACCAGGATATGTTAATGAAAACAAGAATGTTCAAAGCAGCACTGTCCACAACAACACAACTGGAACCAATTCAAATGCTTACTAAAAGGAGAAAATAGGGTACATTCACATAATGTAACAGTAGACCACAGGGGAAAAAAGAGAACTCTATAACATCATGCATTTTACTTGAGTCAAAAAAAAAAAAAAAAAAAAAAAAGTCCTGAAGATTACACACAGCATGACACTGACAAAGTTGAAAACACTGTATCTACTTTTTTAAAAGCAAGGGAACTGGGCCAGGTGTGGTGGCTCATGCCTGTAATCCCAGGACTTTGGGCGGCCAGGGCAGGAGGATCACTTGAGTCCAGGAGTGCAAGACCAGCCTGGGTAACATGGCAAAACACAGTCTCTACAAAAAATACAAAAATTAGGTGGGCTTGGTGGTGCATGCCTGTAGTCCTAGCTACTCTGGAGGCTGAGGTGGTAGGATCACTTGCCTGGGCAACACAGCTAGACCCAGCCTAAAAAAGGGGGGTGGGCAGGGAGGTAGCAAGGAAATGATAAATAGAAAACTGAGGAATGCTTACCTTAGAAGGCAGTGCGGTGGGAGGCCACATAGGTAGTTAAAAAATATTGCTGCAAGATGGCCGATTAGGAGCAGCTCTGGACTGCAGCTCCCAGCTAGAGCGTGAAGAGTGGACGCCATATTTCCAGATGGATTTTTATTGCCCACAGACCAGGAGATTCCCAGGTGGAGGGGCTGCACGGGTTGCCAGCATGGCTGTTTTGGCCGGTGCGGCTGGTCTCCACACAAAATACATGGGTCCGGGTGCCATTTCAGCTGGCAATTGGAGTGCCTGGGAGCCAGAGTTGCCCATTCAACTGATGAAAAGGGGACTGAAACAGGGAGCCAGGCAAGGAGATTCCCGGATGAAAAGCACCACAAATCTCCAGTGTGGCTGTTT